AGGTCGCTGAAGAAGCAGGTTTTTAAATCATTCCTTCCCAAAAGCGTGAAAGGCTCTACTCTGAAGTCAGCTAACGATAAATGCCAGTACCCTAATCTGGAGGTCCTGTGGAAAGACACCAGGAAAAACATAAGAAAGATCTTAGAACCACCTGAGACAACTGAACAAGCTTTCCTTTTAGAAAAGGCACCTAAGAATTTAAACAGCATAGAGTCCATCCTCCTAAATGGGCAACTGTGTATTCTAAATTTGCCACAAAGTACCAAGGGCACTATGCTTTCATTAATTTTAGTGGTAGTCAAGGGTTTAAACAGTTTAACAACTGTTTCATGTGAATGTGTGTAGTGATGGGTACCACTTATTGTGAATGTGTGGCAATAACTATATTCAAACAGCTTCCTCAGCCGCATAGCACAGGGAGATCAACTAGGTGCTTTGTGACCGCCTGGAGGAGTGGGATAGGGAGGGTGGGAGGGAGGGAGACGCAAGAGGGAAGAGATATGGGAACATATGTATATGTATAACTGATTCACTTTGCTATAAAGCAGAAACCAACACACCACTGTAAAGCAATTATACTCCAATAAAGATGTAAAAAAAAAAAAAGACAAAAAATATATATAGCTTCCTAAAATACATTTTTGGTACATACATAAATTATTAGCATACATTACAACATATGTAGGATTCTTTAAAAAAAAAAACTACATCAAGTAAATTGATGATGTTTTTTACGAATCGTGAAAACACAAAGATTCACTGTGAAAAGGAACAGTCCATCTACATTTCAACATGGTTTAAGCATTAGAAGGTGAATACCAAGAATAGCTGTAGATACCAAGATGAGAAAAGCATGAGAGCAGATGTATAGAACAAGAGAGCAAACCTGGGGACCTCCCTAGTGGTCCAGTAGCTAAGATCCCATGCTCCCAATGCAGGGGCCCCAGGTTCAATCCCTGGTCAGGAAACCAGATCCCACGTGCTGCAACTAAGAGTTCACATGCCGCAACTAAAGATCCCACATGCCACAACTAAAAGATCCCGCGTGGGACTTCCCTGGTGGCCCAGTGGTTAAGACTTTGCCTTCCAATGCAGGGGGTGCAGGTTCAATCCCTGGTCAGGGAGCTAAGATCTCACGTGCCTCGCAGCCAAAACAAAACATTAAAAAAAAAGAAGCAATATTGTAACAAATTCAATAAAGACTTTAAAAATGGTCCACATTAAAAAAAAAAAATGATCCCACACAATACAATGGAGATCCCGCGTGCCACAACTAAGACCAGGCACAGCCAAATAACTAAGTAAATAAATTAAAAAGAAATTTTTTTTTAAAAAAAGAGTAAACCTGAAAGGAACAAAAGGGATCAGTTTAGTACAACACACATGGTAATATTTCAAATGAAAAGCAGATATACAAGCAGATATATATAGGCTCCAGAAAACACTCTTGACTAAAATTTTCCCCCAACCCAGCTTCCCTTAAACTTCTCCTTTTCTATCAATGATGGCAACAGCATCAGACTTGAAATCCTGGAAGCATAATCAAGCCCTCACACTGCCCTAATATTCTCAGTCTCTAAGTCTGTTCGTTCTTCCTATGAAATGCCTCTCCTGTGAAATGCCTCTCAAACTGCCCTTCCATTCTCTCTGGCACTACCTTAGACCTGCCAAATACTATCTCCTCACTCCTGAATTATTCATGAATTCATTCATTCATACCTGCACTCATTCAGACACTTCCTGAAGCACCTACTGAAGTACCGTGTGCTAGTTCTGAATACAAACCACCATTCTAACGAGAGGTGGAGACACAGATCGTAACGAATGCACTATTTTAATAACAGCAACGCTTGATTAGGGCGCCACTACATGATAGCTGCTATTCCAACACACTATTATCCCATTTAAATCCTCACAACAACCCTAAGAGATGGGTATAATTATCTTCTGCAAAGCAAGGAGACTAAGGCTCAAAGAAGTGAGATAATTTTCCTAAGATCACACTGCTAATAAGTTGCAAAGTAAGATTCCACGAGAACTGATTCTTTCTACCACGTGAGTGAATCTACTGCATCAACTCCTAAACAGTCTTTCCAATCCAGTCTACCCATTTCGACCAGATTCATCATCTGAAAGCACCATTCTGGACTTGTAACCCCTTAGTTCAAAAAAAAAACCTCAATGGCACCTTTAGCCTGGCCTTCAGTCTTTGAGTCAAAAAAAAAAACACCTTTCCTTTCCCTTACTCGCTCTGAATCTTGGAAACTGCTTAATGTCTCTAATCTTCAGTTTTCCTACCTATGAAATGGAGATAAGACAGAGTTGTGTAAGGATTAAATAAGAGAAAATACGTGAAGGTTTAAGCACATGAGTGTTCAATAAATAAGAGTTGTTATTACTCATATAGCTACACACAAAACTTCTGTTTCAGCCAATCAGTACAGGTACTACTTTTACGAAACCACTTAGATTTCTGCCTCAATTCACACTATTCTCCCTCCGCTCCATTAAGAATAAGTATCCTATAAATATCTAATACATGAATCAATACATGAATCAATGTCTGTACCTCCTTATCTTCAAGGCCCAAGTCAAATGCTACTTCTTCCAAGAGCCCTCCCTAGCCGCCCTCAATGAGCTTCACACCTAACTTAAGTGCCACTGAGAGAATGAGGAAGAAAAAAATGCCGAATTATTCAAGACGTGTTATGAACTAGAAAACATGATACATCTTCAGGGCATTATTTCACTTAATTCTCACAGAGAAAGACAAAGCAACTTGCACAAAGTCAAAGAGCTAGTAACTGATGAAGCTGAGATTCAAAATCAGAAGTGGCTGATCCCTTTTAAAAGCCCACTTCTTCCCACACCACCTTGTATCTTGGTACCCTGGATTACACATTTAATCAACAACTACCTAACACTGACAGTGAGCAAAGTGTTGGTGTATGCTCTAAGAGCCCCAGCAACCCATACAAATACAACAAACAAAACTGTCATGAAATAATGTTTATCCATACCACCTGCAGTGGACTCTAATTTTTTTCTATTCTCTTCTATTTCACTTAAAATAAAATACTGGTCAGTTCCCGCTAATTTTACTTCACAACCACTCTTGAATAGCGACCCAGCTATCTTGTAATACAGATATTACAAGGCCAAATAAGATCGAGAATCTGTCCTCAAGAAGTATTTAATCTAGCTGGAGACATAATGGCAAAACACAAACTTTTCTTGACCCGCCCCCCTTGACCCCAGCCCACCTACTGGAATAGAAGGTGGGCTTCTATTGCTCATGTTCCTGTTGTCCCCCGAACTACCCTATCAGGAAACATAACCAATAAATTATCTAGGCTGTAAATATGAAAAACATCAGGCCCTCAACAAACAATTGTTGAATGAATGGATGAATGAATATGTGAGGTACAATAAAAGTGCTATGGATTTTCAGAGGGAGAAATTACATACCATAAACTCTCTCCCCACATACCTCATAATCCTCTAAGGGAAGGAACAATCTCTTTGTATTACTGAATACATCAAGAGCGCAATCATGTTTGTAGATATTCTATTAAAAAAAAAAAATTGAGCTACGGACTGGCCGCAATTCATGTGGAAAAGCAGATAAACATGGATCTTGGCCAAAGAAAATCAAGGAAGACATTTACAGCTCCAGTGATAAGTTTATTATCAGCCTTTACTCTAGATCCTTACTATTCAAACTGTGGCTCTTGGTCCAGAAGTATTAATATTACCTGGGAGTGTGTTAGAAATGCAGAATCTCAGGCCCCACCCAGACCAACTGAATCAGAACCCCCATTTTAACATTCTCCCCCAGTGGATTCCTAACACACATTAAAGTTTGAAAAGCATAAGTATATATGATACAAATGAACTGGCTTCCGCAAGCTCAGAGAAAGTTACCATCTTCTCTGTTATCTCTGTAATAAATAATCAGACTTTTCAAGAAGTACTACAGATATGGTCATGACACACCTTCAGGAATATTAGGGTATAAATCTAAATCATTACTCAATGAGAAGTAAGAATTGACCATCCACTGAACATTGGATGGAACTTTTAGAAAACATACCAAAAATAAATATACCTTTGCCTTCTTAGGACACAGGCTCTATTGGGCAAGAAAATAAGAGAATGAACTTCAATAGCCAAAGCGATAAATCTTTAATACCAAGGATGAGATTATTGAAAAAAAAAGAGATGCTGGTGAGAACATTTAAGAACAAACTTCTCTAACAATACGTGATACAAACACGTATTTCCAAATATTCTCTATTTAAAACTCCAAACTTAGACTGCCCTACAGGTAAAGCTGTGTAATGAAGGGCCTACCTGACATTAAGTCAGATCTCCTAAACATTTTTCACTGACTCAAAGACTGGAACCACCCTTTAAAACACCAAGCAAAATCTCAACCAGGAGATCACTTTGTGAGCTTGCAAAAACACTTGCAAAACCCTCAAGCTACAATCTTCTCATCCCAAACTGAGACAAGATCTGAGGCCATAGGGACTTGATGTCCAATATGCCCTTAAAAAAAAAAAAAATTGGGGAGGAGGGCGCCCAGACAGGGGGAATTAGATGAGGAATGACTGCAGGCCATTTCTCATCGCCTCGCTGACCTACAACACCTCTCCACAGGGCAGGAGGGAGGGAAAATAACGCAGGCCTCTGAACTCAGAATTTTAAGGGCCCCAAACTTAATCCTGAAGTTGGGAACCCATCTTCTCCCCAACAGGCATTCAGATGACAGCTCAACTTCTAATTCCCCTCCCCTTCTCCCGCCCCCCGATGGATCTGGGATATCCGCCCCTCGCGATCTCCCCCCATCCCATCCACCGCCGCCAAAAATACCCGGACCCCTCCCAATGAGAAATCGACACAGGGCGAGTGCCCCGGGCCCCTCCGGAGCACGACTGCACGCCCTGGCCCATTCTCCACACTAAACTCGCCCTGGGGGAGGAGCTGATGGGTCTCACCAAGTACAGGGGAGCATAGATCTTCAGGGACTCCTCCAGGGCGCCCCTGGTGATCTGCACGAAGGAGACCCCACAGGAAGGGTGCCAAGTGTGGCCGATCTCGTAGCAGTTATGAGGGATGGACTTGCTGAGGGCCGCCATGACGAGGAGCCGCGCGCAGGGGCCGGGAGGTGGTGAGCCGAAGCTCTGCAAGGAGGAAGAGGGGCGGGCAGCGAGCGCCCAACCGCCGCGGGCTCTCAGGGCGTGCCGGGGGTAGGTGCGGAATAGAAGGGAAAGCTCAAGCGAGCGGGGTTACTCTGGGCCAAAGTCCTCCGAGGTTGAGCGCTCGGCGCAAGGCAGCTCGAGGGGGCGGGGCGCGCATCAGGGAGGCGGGGAGAGGCGGAGCGTGCGCGCCCTCAAGCGG